TGTGATGACACTCAAGACAGCCATACCTGCTGTTGCTTCAGGAAGACACTGTCAAAGTTTCACTCCCAAAGAAAGTAAAACCAAACATGGTCATTATTAGAGAATTCTTCTCTCAGAAATGCTGCCTACCACATGACTGGCTCAAAGGTACTATCAGGAGAACCCGAATTTAATAAAAACGACAAAAAAAAGAGCCCTGAAAGTACACAGACATCCTCCCCGAGGACCTGCACACTACATATCTGTCACGAACTTCAGGACATTGCCAGTAGGAACCACCATGTGCACAGCTGATAGATGCAGTCACAATTCCATTCTCATAAAGTTACCAAAATATTGCTGGACCTCTAAAACCTATGACCTTCAAATATTTTGCTGTTTTCATACAGGTTTTGCTCTTTCAGCATTAAACTTCTTTGCTGGAAAAACCTTTTGACCAAGAGGTCAAGCAAAATTCGTGCTTTCCCAAACGATGTGGTTTAGCTTTTCCTTCGTACATGAGGATTTCCAAAAATGGTTTTCCAAATGAGAGCCGTTTCACTGGGCATTTTCAATTTTACAATGAGAAGAAAACGAGCTGCATTAGCATCTACTCACATTTGCCGTTTTACAAGAAGTCCAGGGCACTCACTTCTGCCACTGGGATTTGAAAAGACTCACAACACTTCACCTTTATGCTGGGCTAAACTCAGGGTAGCCATAAACACTCTGAAGTAATGCAAACCTAAATATTCCTGCTAGGCAAACGGAGCAGTGGAAAGGAATTGTAATGAGCTAGCAGCTGTCACAATATGACCACTGTAACCAAATCAAAATATCAAGCGCTAACCCAGATGAGATTCAAAGGTCATCCTATAAGCCAGCAGCTTGCTTCAGTTCTGCCTGAAACTTCAATCTAATCCTGCAGTGAAATATTCCACTGAGCTAGTTGAAAAGCCAGTTACTCTATGGTGGTGAATTATTTAGGAGGACTAGAACCAAATACCACAGAAAGGAAACTACAGCACTCACACTGGGACCTGTAAAAACTAAGCAGCTGATGTTGAACTAAGCTGTACCCAACTGTACAAAAGGATCACTTTTCATATCCTTCAGTCACCACCCCATGTATATAATCTACTGGGCTATGTGCTCACTTATCCTCAAACAATCTGGGCTTCAATTAAGACTCTGGAACAATAGAAGGAAAATGCATGCTTAGATTCTTCCTTGGATCAAAGAGTTTCAGATAGAAGATATATTGTCTGCCATTGTAAAAATATTTGGACAATTAGCTATAAAAGTTTAGTGCTTGGCAAAGGAAAAAACTGAAGTCTAAAAAAAAAAAAACCCCACCACACTCTGCATACATTTCTTGCCAGGATTTTCTAACTATTCTATGGCGTATAAATAATCCTCTTAAAGACACAGGAATCAGCTCTGGGCCCCTTCGTCCTATAAGCATACTCTGAGAGCTCATCAGCTGACCACCTGTGAAGGTCTAATCAAACTGTTTAAAAAACAGAAACAAACAAGTTTCCAATTAATCAAGTGTACATTATTATCATTAGTACTCATGGGTAGTCACAAAGAAAAATTTGTATTCTACAACTGCAAAATAATGCATGGGACTTGAACTTAGGCAAAATGCAAACTGGTGTGTATCTACCAACGAAAGCGATGAGTAGGAGCTTACAAGGGCTCAGAGAAGGTTAACTGGTCAGGGCAGGCAGTCAGCACTGAAAACGCTCAACTACTCTAGAACTCATGCCAATGCAAGAACAAAAAGCTCTTTTTATTTAGGAATTTGCTTTAACGTAATTATACTTATTTTTTCTCTCAAGGAAACACAAGCTTATTTCCAAAAAAAAAAAAATTTAGCAGATACTCTACTATTATACATAATACCACATTTTGCATAAATTTGAGATGGAAACAATTAAGTTGAGCTTACTAATATGTTCAAAACTATTATTTAAAAAACAATAACATTTAGGCAGAACCATTCACATGACATCAGAAAGTTCAAAATCATGTGTTTCTTACTATAAATTAATTTGTAGGCAAAAATATTAAGCAAATGTTATCAATGCATGCATCATTTTCCCTGGATGATAAAGAACAAAACAAATAATTCACTTAAAAAGGAGAAAATGCTGCAGAATTTGTTTTCTTTCCTTACAATAACATAAAATCTTACTAAGAGACTAGTTTACAAAATTAAAAAAAAATCAGGTCACCTGCAGTTAATAACTCTTTCCTGTAAAATTAGTGTCACTTATTTTTGTAGCAGACGCCTAATTCAGTCACAGGCTTGATTGATTTGACAATGGAGAATCTGCTCCAATAAAGTGGCTGATTTATTTCTGATACTCTAGCTTTTACCCGAATGTGACATCATGGCAGAATTAAAGTCTTTGAACTGTAAAGAAACCCTTTGTAGTTTAAATCAAAGCCAATTAAAGAGTCTAAGGGTAGTTTTCTAAAACTTACAGTGAAGTTAATGCCCTCCTTTGGTAGACAGGAAAACCCACAAAGGTCATAACACAAAGTATGGATTTGGACACAAAGAACAGTCGGGAATACAGCCTGTATCTAGGGAGTTCCAACCGCTGACTACACTCAACACATCTTACTTTGTTTTCCATATCTTTAAATTGGTTGCTCTTAACTTCTTCAAAAAAACTTTTCTTCATGAAGGTGCACAGTAACACAAAGCTTGATTCATCATAGAAGTAGTTTCCTTTTAAATAATCAACAGTTTGGACGACAACAACAACAACACCAACAAATTTCCCCAGGAATCTAGCCCAGAGATATCCAGGCAAACCAAGCAGGCATTGGAGACACGAGAAATCCTAACAGTGGCAAGACTTTTCAACCCAAAGTCAGTGCTCTAAAAATATTTTTAAATGTTTCTTTAAACAAAAAAATGTAAAGTATTTCTGCCTGTTTCAATGTTTCTTTCTGCCTTTTCCCTTTCTTCTTTTCTTTCTTTCTTTTTTTTTGCACATAGCACAGTGCCCTCTCACTCTGAGGGCGACTTCCATGACCCGAGTCTGACACTGCACCGTTAATGTCAGATAAACCATTTAGCCCAGGCACAATTCTTTTCTGTGCAAAAATCTGCTTGAGGTGGAAAATGTAGCAGTTTGTAAACAATAAAGAGCCATGTTTCAGACCAGACAGCTTATCTAACAGAGAAGTCCTTTCATTAGGAACAGTGGGTGGGAGCCTCGTGGACATAGTAGCATTTCCTTTCACAATGCAGGAGACTGCTTGGCCTCCATATTTAAGAGTTTAATGGGAAGGAGGGCAGACAGGATAAAAGAGCAAGGCTGACATGGATTTTCAGCTTAAACAACAACGAAGTGAAAAGAATCAGCTTTTTTGGCTTTAGACTGTCAGCCCCCTTATATTTTCAATAGCATTTCGCCTAAAAAAGTAATTTGGTTTATAAAAACAGTTGCCAATGAAGAGTCATGAAAAAGGCCAGTCATTTAACATGTGTGTGTATTGTGTGGCTTCTTCTACGGATTAATTTATCAAGAGTAAACTTTTCTGCATAACATCACATAAACTTCTAAATGTGAGTACTTTTTAATTCTTATTTACCTATTTTAGGTCACCAGTCAGTAGTTCTTTAGACATTACCTTCCCAGACTATCATTTTCACACTAATCTTTTATGCTATTTAATGAAATTGGCTGAAGCTAAACAGAGAAGCAAAGGTATTAGAATCAAAATGATTGAAGAGAAAGAAGCTTTCCATTAATATCTCACTTGACAACCTGGTAATCTCCACACATTCTAAAGCAGTGACCTGACACACCTCCCGATCAACAATCATTAAATGGTAATTCTTTTCTGTGTGCAAAGTTAAAACACTAACGTAAAAATTACCGTTTGCAGTAAAAAATACACAAAAGAACAATATGAAAAATAAAATCAAGGTTCTTGTTGTTCTCACAAACATAGGATAGTATCAAAAATAACTACTGGAATGAGTATCTCCACTGACTATTATCTCTTAAATATCTGAAATTGCTTTACATCCATTTGATGATGATTTGTGGTGTAAAAAACCCTGATATTCAGACTATCTATACCTTAAATAACCAGTATCATTTTCAAAGTTTAAAAATGAGAACATTCTTTAGGAACATTTGCAATTATATTTTCAGAGTAATGTAATTATTTCACAGAGTTTTCCTTGGAGTTTGGGCCAGCAACTTCTGTCAAACAGTTTCATGTCATTTATTGACAAATTTGCACTAGAGTTTGGCCAGGTTAGAGAGTTAACAATGTTTTCCCACCAAAACGAAAGCAACCAGCCACTAGGAACTTACAAGCCGTCATGAACTGTCCTTTCATCACTCAGGTTACTGCTGTTGCACAAGCATCCCCATAGAGCAGTCAAAAGCCGAAAAAATAAGCCAAGAATGCCAGGCAGAGGGGCACGATGGAAATGCACTGCCTCAAACCACACAGAGCTTGCTTTCAGTGACATGAGATTAGACTGCCTACACCATTAACAATAAAGGTCACACTTGATAAATACAACCAGATTTTGCAGTTCCACTGGAATGCACTATACCCTGAGTCAAGCAGACTAGGGCCATTAACACTATTTATCTCTATTATTCCATTAATAAAATCCCACAGCTACCATGAGTAAATGTCAACCAGGAGGCCCAGTGAAATTTTAAATATTTTAAATATTCACCACTTTGTTCTTTATCAACCGTAACTTAAGTGACTATTTCTAATGAAACACTGAAATTGGGATAAGTATTTTATGTCTAAGAAAGACAAACTGAAGCAGTATCACTGATATTTAATCCCACATGGCTGAAATGCTTAGTCCTTGCAAATCATACATTATTAATGTTTTTCTGCCATGTAAGATTACTAAAGTGAACTGACTCCTAAAAACAGAACCTCTGTTCGGGTCATACTATTCCCTTCTATAATAAAACATACTATTCAAAACATGAATGTAAACTTAAAGCCAAACTTACTTTGTATCCTGGAATTGACAAAAGGTGGAGACAGATTGTCATGTGATCCAAGGTCCCTGCTGGTCATGTGGTCATAGGGAGTCCCATCTCCATAGTTCTGTGAGTAAAACAACAGTGTCAGTTTTAGCTTCACATTCCCACGACCTCCTGCCTGGAACCACACTTGAAGCAGCATGTCCCTTTACAGATGCGTTAGCAAAAACAGCGTTCAAGTCTACAAAGTTCACACCTGCCTCAGAACATCCAGGAAACCATGGGATTTAACAATGGCATCAGTGGCATGCAGTGGGTGAGATGATCAAAGAAAATAATTTGTGGAAAACACCAGACACATGTAAAATGTATTGCAAATGGGAAACGTTATTATTTGATAAGTTCACATTAACACAACATTGTACAAGAGAAAATTACCTGTAGCCTATAATAAATTGCTTTTGGAAGACCAAGCTAGAGCCATTTAAACAAAAACATTTGGTTTTATAATATAGACATTTTGATCTATATTACAATAAAAGTGACCACAATATAACTAAGAGATAAAAAGGTTAAGAATGTGAATGAAAACCAAAACTTTAGCATACATTAACATTTTTAGATTGGATTCCAAAAAGTGTTTTAAAGCAAAGTATGCAACCAAAAATTGTTTTAAAGTATTATTCCAATGATTTCCTTTTTAATGGTAAGTTAAAGTTGAAATATTGTTTTTAAATGTTTCATTCTTAATTTTAATGGGGCAATTTGATGGCACATAATAAAGAGTTAAAAACTATGTTTCAGAAAGTTCAAATTGCAGTCTCCTGAAGTGCATAAAGTGACCAAAGCAGGGGAGAGGGGGTTATTCAGCTGGCTGAACTGCCCGTGAAGTTCAACTCAAACTGACTTTGAGGTCTCAGCACGTTAGCCAAAGGGCAGAATCTGCCTAGACAAAAAAAGAGGGATGCTATAGGAACAGTGAAGGGCACAGCACCAGAGAAAGGCTGGAACCTCACTGACAAACAACCCTATTCTCAATCATCTTTCTTCACGTAAAAAATTAACTGGAATGATACTATAATAATGCCAATTATCTCCATACATAAAAATATGTCACATTTTTAATACTCATCATGGGCTTCAAACTCAGGAATTCTGAACCAGAAATTGCACAGAACTAATTATTATTAAGTGTCCTCACCCTAGATAGTATACAAACCACTTAATACACATGATCTATTTTAATCCTCAGCACAGGGCTGCAAGGGAGAAGACAACATCAGCACTTTAGGGTAAGAGAAGCACCAGTGAAGGTTGCTGGTTACAGTGTGCCACTAATAATCAGCCTCATGACAAGTCCCTGTATTTAGAAAATACAAGTTATAATATGTGTCGATTCAAACTTATTCACCACCTTAGTCCTTGAAAAAATGTCAGAAAAATCGATGCAAGCCAAATTTAGAAGTAAAACAGGATGATTTCTACATGGACCATATTCATGTGGACACACAATTAAAAGCACTAAATTTAAGAAATTAATTTCTGTATTCAGTTTAACATACAATATGGTACTGAATAGCATACAATAAAATGGTGTGTAAGACTAAGAAATTAAATGAATGAAACAATACAGGGAAGTTGAGACATCTCCACGTGCTGTCAAAACGAGTGGATTTATCTCTGCAAGTGCAGACTGTAACGTGAGGAGGAGGAACAATTTCCTCAACCCATCCATATCATGCATTAGAATGTCAAACTTAACAGCTGCTGGAAGAGCTGAACAAAGTTTCTAGCTGCTTAGAGATTCATTTGTACCCAGTAGGCTACAATGAAGATCACAATGCCAGACACAGGTGGAAATGTTTGACTACGGCTCCATTTTTAACAGTTTGATTACCTTCTCTGCCTGGTTGACAGTATAGAGACCTTCTTCCACTCTTTCCATCAACATCTACAGGAAATGTTACCCTTCCTAAAGCACGTTTCATCTTGATCTTGACAAGGCGTTGCAGACACAGTACTGTAGTATACACACAATGCCTACTCTCAGCTTGGAACATTATACGTCAAAGTCCTCAAAATCCAAGGACATTCTACCCCAAATTGTGTATAAAATAGTTGAATTAGAAGAAATAAAGATCCTCTTAATTTTATAAAAGAAGGAAAATGAGGACCAAAGAAGTGAAATGACTTGTCCAAGATCATTAAAAAAAAGCACATAATACCTCACCCCAGTCAACAATTTTTGCATTTCATCCAGAGATATAATTAATGTAGAGAAAAACTTAAAAAACAAAGGCAGTAAAAATGGGACATCAAATAAACTGATGAATTCAACTGATGCCCAAAAGTGCCATGAGTAAAAAACATGTTCACAAAAAGTAAACCAACCATGATTTATCAGGCAGATGTTACTGATAGGATGGAACTTCATGTTACAGGACTGTTCAGCCATCTATTCACATCCATGTTATAGCTTCATTAGAATTTTTTAAGTTGTTCCACCTACAACAAATAACTTTCTATATCATACTGGATCAACAATTGGCAAAGGCAGGAGCAATAAGTTAATGAAGGACTTCTCTTCTGAGCCAAAGCGGAACTAAGTGTCAATTTCAGTAACAAAATGAAATAAGACCATGGAGAATGGCAAGATGGAAGAGGGCGCCAGGTGACTTCCAAAGACAAGCTATCCCCAAGAAACACTGTGTGTGTGTGTGTGTGTGTGTGTGTGTGTGTGTGTGTGTGTGTGTGTGTGTGTGTGTAACTCACCTTCAGTCTGTTCTTTCACCTGTGTGGCTGCTGTCTGAGTATGGGACCAGCAATTAGATATACTTACCCTGGACGGGCTTGGATGGCCTCCATTCCCCCAGGATCCTGAGCTACTTCTGTCTTCTACGTCTAAGGGACAAGAGAAAGTTCTTTAGACTTTCTGGCAATAACTCTTTCCTTTTGTATATGCACTTTTAAATTAATGTTTCAAATTAATCTCCTGTTGCCTTTAATTAAGAACCAGGCACAGGGCTACCATGATGATAGTGGCTTGTGACCCATCTACTTAAATTAACTCATTTAAATTCACAGCAGAAATGAACTGGACCCTCAGGAACCTGAGGTATGCACATAAAAATTACTTCCATCCTTCACAGCGTTTGATAGCCTCGGTTTTTGGAGACATGAAAACCCACTGAAAGTTTTATTAAAAATTTTTGGACCAAATAGATTGAAAAATACAGAACACAATCATAAAGTAAAAAGAAAATTAATTAAGGTAAATACACATCCGAACATTCTGGTATTATTGCCATATCAGCCTTGGACCCTTCTATTCTCTAGTCAAGGTTTATCCCACCAGACAACAGACACCTAACAGAAAATGCAAGACTAGAACAACAACAACGAATCAAAACAAAAACAGCAGCAGCCATCTGCTTTCACCAGCTTATCACAAGTATGGTGGATCTTTTCTTTTTAATGATGGTGAAGAGTCCTGCAAGGGTTACTGGAAAGTAAGAATTTAAACTACGTCCCAGCAAAGTGCAACTAATGACCAGCTTACAGAGTGTCCCATCAGTTCCTCACATGGCAAAAACTCAACGTGGAGAGCAGCTAACTTGCCATTTTATCCACTTAAAACACCAGTGTTTCAGCCAACAGTCTCTGTATTTTGGGGTGGGTGTGAGATTGCTGATTAAAGCCCTTTGTAACTATAAAAAGTTTCCCCATCCCATTACTCTGATCAAGGTTGATAACAGGCGGTCAGTACAAATGTCCTCAGACAGCACTGGAGCAGGAAGTATGAAACACTGGTTCAGGAGACAGAATCCCATTTACTGTGTTGTAGAACACTTTGGTAGTACTGTTTATTCTCCTAATACTCAACTGTCATTCCTTTTATTATGCTATTCTGTTACCAGCAGAAGTAATCATGGCATAATTGATTTATTTTTAGATACAGGGGTGTAGATAGTGTTTTAGAATCTCTGAAGAGAACAGCATAAACCAACTTAATTCCACTGAACCTGAATTCACTCTCTCTCACTCATAACAACATTTTGGTATCTTTTAGTTGGTGCTTCCAAAGATAACGCGATTGTAAACAGATGCCCCCATGTACAGTTGAAATCAGAGTGCTGTAAACTTTAGGACACGTCAACGAGAAGCTCTAGAGACTACAGCAAACCTGAGGAAAACATGTCGAATTCCAGACCTGCCATTTAACAACCCAACACACGTAGTCTGCTTTGTATGTAATAAATGCAAGTTCAGAAATACAGAGGTACTCATAACCTTCCAAGAGCCTCACATGAGTAAGTTTTGAAGTCTACATGCTTTTCTTAACTTTGAAACAAAAAACAAATATTTTCAACTAAAAACAAACAGAAACAAACAAACAGAAAGCTATATCAGCAACAAAATCACCTAACCACAGCAAATTTTCAAAAGTCTGGCACAGATTCTAAACATCTGGGTGAGAGAGTCATGGTGTCCCAACAAGTTAGGCCATCAATTTGGACATCTACAGCCAATATCCAAAAAAAAAATCGGGAAACCTGACTTCATCACTTCCCATCAGGCTTCCTGCTAACGTGCCTGGGAGGCACCAGATGATGGTTCATGTGTTTTCCTACACATGGACCGAGATGGAGTTCTAGACTCACTGATGCTCTTCAAACTCTGCCTCTACTTTTCAAGTCGAGGGAAATAAATAAGTAAACATTCAAAAAATAAGAATCTAGCTTATCTGCACTTCATCTCTTAATAAAGGCCTGGATTAATTTGAGAGTTTCTCCTTTTAGAAGGCCTTTGGTAAGGTGATTGAGTTGCCAATTGAGATAACACTACCCATATGAAAGTGTGTGATTCTGATACTGCTCTGTTCTGCTCCAGCTTCCTTCTAACGCACAGCCAGTAAAGCAGCAGGCAATACCTCAAGTACTTCCGTTTCTGCCCCCCACAAGGGAGACCCCAAATGGTTCAAGCTCCCAGATTCTGCCAGGCCCAGCCTTTGCTCTTGTAGACATTTGGGGAGGAAATCAGGAGATACTGATTTTATCATTTTAATTTCAAAAGATCTTAAACGTAAGAAGTAGGCAGAGACCTGGAGGTAAGGCAATCATTCCACTAGGCCAGCGGGTCTCCCCTTGTCATTTGGCAATGTCTGGAGAGTAAATAATTTTCCTGTTACAGCTGGGCAGTGGGACAGGGAATACTGCTGGCATCCAGTAGAGAGAAGCTGAGGACACGGTAAAGCAGCCTACAAATGTACAGAACTGCCCCCACATCGAAAAATGTTCCAGCACCAAAGGTCAATTTTGCTGATGTCGAGAAAAAAAGTCCTATGCTAGAGCAAACAAAAACGGATCTGCAGAAAAGATGTCCAAAAATCTGATTTCTAATTTAGTGAGAATTCTCCCCAAATACAGAGTCATGTATTTTTAACCCAGACCTCAGCTGGAATGTTCCAAGAGATCACAGCCATCCTCCATCCACTGAAGAGAGGAAAAACGATGGTCAACCAAGCAGCCTGCTAATTAGCAAGCAGATAAAACACACCAAAACTTGAGTATTCCCAACTGGGCAATTTAAAAAGCGAACAATCCACTAATTAAAAATGTTGGGAATCCGAGCTTTTTCAAAACAGGTTAAATAGTGGCTGGGTTCCTTCACAAACAGATTCTCAACCAATCAGATCCGACTGCTCTTTTCCTATCCAGTCTCCTTCTCATTTCCTCACTTCACACTGCTGCGCTTCTTGGTGCTTCTTTCTGCTTCCTCCCTTTATATGGCTGTCTTTTGAAGAGGCTTTCCTCTACCCTGGCCTCCTGCTAGATCCAGAGGAGGAGGACAAATCCGTAGCTCTCCAAACCCAATAAATACAACAAACTCTAATTCCTTCATCTTTGGGGGAAAAAAATCTGTTATCACCACTGCTCATGTATCCTTGGCAAGAAGACATGAAGCTACAGCATGGAGTCCCTTCTTCCCTGCCTGAGCCTCAACAGACCCACCAGTTAGTTAGCATTTCTTCAGTAACTGTTCCAGACCTCTCAGAAAAGGCAACCACCTGCATCGCAATCACCTGGTGCCCTCATTTTCTCAGGGTTTGTATTAAACTTTATTGAGTATGGCATTCCTAGGGTGTGGCCAATAAAACTCATCAGTGGGTTTCCAGGGGTTTTCACATGATCCTCGTGCACACAGGAGTGTGAAAAACACAAAGTTGCTCTGCTAATGGAAACAGAAGACACATCATGGCCTACAGTGGCCAGCTTCAATCCTGATTTCAAAAACCAGTCCTGGGTCAGCCAATCCCCACTCCTGTGACACTGACATCCAGGCTCACTCTAGTAAACCCTATCAGGGTCTACACTTACTGCATTCCCACCGGCAAGTCTGACACTGTAACTCTTCTTGGGTGCTGCAGTGGTTTTATACCTGCTATTCCTCCTCCTAAAAGGTTGCTCACTTCCAAAAACCAGGATAGAAGCTCACATGGTGAGCTTTAATGTCCATTAAAGATTTATGTAAGCACCTAAATTCTGTAACAATCTGACCTTCTATATGTGAAAAGAATGCGTCCTACTTAGAAAACCTGCCTAACTTGTCAGTATCACTGAAGGATCACAACCCCAGGGACTGGGATGCTGATGCCCTGAAAACCCTTATCTCTCCCTTCTTCGGGGATTGAGTGGAAGGAGAGAAGAAGGCGAGGCCAATGAGCTTATCTGGAAGTTTACAGCCAGTCCATCAAGAAGTATGGAATCACATACAATGCAAAACATTAAATAAATATATGAAGGAATCAAGACATGGGGGAAAAAAGGTAGAAGAATCATGAAGCCAGAGCAATCAAGTCTATCCTAATGGACAGTGATGAACAAGACATTTGTGGACAAAGCAAAGACTAAGGAAAGATTGACAGTGACCATTTGATAAAACTCACACAGATTATTCAGGAGAAATACAAGTATGACGGCATTAATTAAAGAGAACACCATACTATGCTGCAGAGATCCCAAAATGGAATGCTACGTAGATTTCGAGAGCCATCAATGGTAACCACAAAGGGGAAATTTGTACAGCCAGCTGAATGGTTCATTAAATACAAAGGGTGGTTTATACAAATGCCATATATACAGCTATAAAGCTATGATATTTTATGATACATGCTCCTCACTTGAGCCATGAAGCCATCTCTCAAAATCTTGTGTAGCATACAACACGGAGTGGGTTCATTAGTTCTTTACTGAGACAAATTCACATGGCAAAAGGTATACAGTATGTATTAGGTATGAGAGGCATTTCCATCTAGAAGGTGTGACAAACAATACACAGAAAAAGATGTGTGGAAACAGTAAACATGAAAAACTGCCTGGAGGAAGCCACCTAAAGAAGAGGCCAAGCTCCCAGAGGCTGCTACCCTCCCTGAAGAAAGAGAAAGACAATTTCCTGCCAGAGGGAAGGAAGAAAGGGAAGAAATCAGGCAGGTGACAGAAATTACACTCCCTGAAGAATCACATGAGATCACGAGATGGACTGTTGAAAATGTTTTAGTTTCTTAGTGTACTCTACACAAGGATATAGTTGGTAACATTCAAGGGATGGATGGCTGCTCTGGGAAGCAGCCTTTACGATCCACAGATTTTTTATTATATCCATTTGGTTCTGTCTAAGCAGCCTCTAACATGTCTGCTATTTCAGTGCCAAAACCCGAAAGTTAGTTTGGGCAGAACTAAGACTAAACAATCCGTCTAGAGGAAAGCTATACAGATACGATTCTTAATTTCCACAATTTCTTGTTCAGATGATTAAAATTAGGATCTAACTACTAAAATCCATGATTCACTAATGTGGACAGAAATTTGGGGACTGTCAAGTAGACTGGACAAGTGTTAACA